ATTCTTAACTCTTTGCACAGAAACAAATATTTTATTGTTACATAAATTCATGACAAAAATGGATACTTCTATAAGATTAAAGCAAAAAATGTATTCTCCGACACTTAAACCAACAAAAGAATTACGAGATTGAATTGGATACGTTCTCCAAGATTCATAAGTGGTTAATTAATGTGAAAAACCTTGAATATTCTCCTTACGATCTAACAAGTGGTTAATTTAGGAGGAAAATGTATCCTTAACACTCAATATTCTCAATCTAATTTATGTACAGTTACAAGAACCAAATTGGTTTCTACTGAGCATTTAAGTAAACTTAAGTTACAAAACTTAAATATTCTCTGACGCATAAAGTGTTACATTTAATAGGGCTTCCAATATTATTCTGAATTAAATCCTGTATTTCCATAAATCATAACAAATCAGGATGCCAGGAAGTCCCACCTGGCCTTCTTCTCCCTGTATGTCGTAGACCTGCAACGGCGGCGTTGTGGGCACCCTGAAGACCACCGGGTCCTGTCATCCCCCGGGGCCGGCGTGAACTCCGCTTGCTGCGGTCCGAGCGGTCGGCCACCGGGTCCAGAGGGAGATGCCAGCAAGGGCCTCCACGTTGGCAGGAAGCTCCTTCTGCCAATCTCCTCATCCTGAGTCAGCTGTAGGTCCGACCAATCACTGCACGCACCTGAGAGGCAGCAACACACACGGCAACGTGTCAGCTAATATCAGGTGATATTTCAATTAGTTTGTTTATCTGTCTGCAGGAATACAAATACTGTGTGACCTGATTCACATGAAATTTGGTGAAGACTCACTTTTTGGCTTGCTCCTATGATCAGATTTGGACTAATATCTTGTATGGAAGTGTTTGATTTAAATTCACAGCTGATGTTTCTTCTCAGTTAAGATGCCATGATTAAATACTATTCATATGTATATCAATCATTATCCATGCAAGACTCTGCTGTTCTGTTTAAAAAAGTTTAAGGTCATCTTGAAAAAAGTGAGAATGACACACCAACATATGGTTTTAAATCTCAAGTGTGTTAATAACGGTGTGCATTTTAAAATATCATTTTTAGGCTCAGAAAGAAGCCATTAAAGAGGTGCCCAGTACGTCGACCGCAGGTCGAGCCGTGGGGGAAAGCTGAGTCATTCATAAAAAAAAAAATCCAGCTCCGTTAAAATAGACAAAACAGGTTTTGATCCCTCCTCCCTTGGCCTCCGTGCCACTTAATTCAGGAGTTTACTTGATTGACAGAAAAAGCGACTATCGCTTTCCAGTCTGTAAACCCAGAAATGCAAAGCGATGACAAAATCAGTCCAAGGTGCCGGGAAAACTCAATTAGTTAAAGAGCAAACAACAAATGAGTGCGGGACCCGAGCAAAAACTAAAGACATCCACTTCCACACAGAATGGGGAGGAAGAAATATTTTGGTGTGATGGTCACATTCCAAGGTTATTTCCTATTTGTAAAGCAAGCGTCGCTCTGTCAATAGATAAGGTAAGTGGCATTATCGGAGTGTTTCACAAGGCATTATGACAGCGACTTCCTCCGAGTAGCCGAGTTGAGAAAGAGAAAGGTCATGTATTATTGCTACACAAACATTATCTCGCAGTCTTAGTGTCGCCAACTCGTTCTCCACATGAAAAAAGACAAAAAAGATGCGTCTATGGTCGGTGTAGTTTTCGACTTTTCCAATCGAGGCGAGATCGTTTTCCTCTCCCCCTCTGTGTGCGAGGGCGGGCAGTTACACACACTCCGGCGCTACATGCAGCAACACACTGCGGGATTGGCGGGAGAGAACCGCTCCAAGGTGTGGTTAAATGTTCCTGTCCTCGATGTGGACAATGCTCCTTGCTTGAGTGTTTTAGCATGATAATGGCGTCGCACTGAGCAATTGTGTCTAAACTTTAGCAAAAAGTGCCACCATCATGGTCAACGGAGGAATCACCGGGTTCGAGCGTCTTTCTAGTAGCTCTGTAGCCCCATCCACAAGTAACGTTTCATCACGTCAGGTTGTTTATTATGCTAGCAGCAGCACACCAGAGTTAACCAAAATTATACAAACATGGGTTATGATTAGAGGTAATCAGAGTATTTATTTGTTAAAGTTTCAGCTATTCTGTTCACAGTTCTGTCATCAGATTATTTAACCTGTTCAGTCCCCAGGTCCCCGCCGCGGGGACCCCTGGGTTTTTCCTTCAGGACACTGTGTCTCAGATGATCTTTAATATTTAAGAACCTATTAATGGTGTTGTACAAGATTAACGGAAATAATCTCATGCTAACTGACGATATAAACAATTTTTACCAAAACAAAATCCACAAGTCTCATAAGAAGCATCTATGCTAACGGACATGGGCACAGAACTCAAGATAAAAGTACCCTTATGACTTATCGTAGCTTGGCACATACAGATCTCCGATTAAAAGCCTGAGGCTCCACAGATTATTTAGGTATATAGTTATCATCACTAAGTGTACATCCATACTTGCGACAGGGGAAGCAAAAAGACAGACCATCACAACACGTACCTTTACGTAGCTTCTAGGTGAGATCGTCTCACCGTAGCTGTTAATCTGATCAAAAGAGTGTTCAATGGCATTAAAACGAGAAAAAACGCGCCTGAATCGGTTAATCCATAGGTTGATAAAGTTCCTGGGCAATAATTGGTAAATTATTTTAATCCATAATTCAATTTATGTAAAAAACGCAGAGCAAAATTAGCTGCATGGTAAGCCACCAGTAGGACTGCTGCTTTCCGGTCTTGGCTTATGCGGCAGTATAATACACACACATGACGCAAAATAAGACCTATGTGGGAGTTCGATTCCATTTGGCTCTGACGGTAGAAAGAGATGTCACATGTCAAAAATCCAGCAGGGGGAGCCAGAGATATGAAAAATTCCCACCCAAAGGCCCCAGAAAGGTTTTTTTGTTTGCTAAATCTGTCTAAAAATGTCAAATTATCACATTGTTTTGCATCAATCTTGAATTACAGGTACTTATTATATGTGTACTTTGGATTCCTAAAGCTTTTAGTCTACTAACCCATCATCCGAGGTTAGTTTTCACTATAAGTACAAAATATGTTTTGGACGGACACTATAATTTACAGTTTTTTACCATGTTCAATCTCAAATTTCCTTAAAATAAAAAACATCTATATTGAATCTGACTTTTCTACATCCAACTGACAGGTTTATCATTACTTTGAGAAAAAAGATTATTAATTTAGCCCTTTTAGAAGGGAAAATATGGTCATTTGTTCTGGGAATGTCATTTTCGAGCCTGAAACCTGAAAAACAGGCTCGGGGTTTAACAGGTTTACGATTTGTTAAAACATTGTTGTTTCTTTTGATGTGAAATATTATTTATTTAATTTAAATAAAAAGCAATGTTAATTTTGTAAACAATTTGTTCAGTTAATTTAATAATATATGTATTTTTGAATCAAGTATTCATCTTTATTGTCTTCATTGTTAGTTTCCACATGCCTAAAACAACCTCAAGCTAAATCTAAAAGTTGATGGCTAAATAAGAGCATTTGAGAAATTATGCAAGGCATACAGTAATAGTCCGAATAGTCGATTAATCGTTTCATTAATCGATAGATTAATCGATTATCAAATTTGTCGTTTGTTGCAGCCCTATTGTTATCCCATGTATAAATAAAACGTGTTATTCAGCAACCCTTGCAATTTGGGATTTTATTTTTGGTTGGTAGACCTCGGTGAGCTGGTCATTTCAAAAGTAGCTCACCAGCCAAAAAAGTGTGGGCACCCCTGGTGTAAAGGATCCAAATTGTGATGCGGATAAATTCATTGTTTTAATTTACGGAGGTCTAGCTTTGACAATACACTTAATGTTTTTGTATGGTTTTTCAGCAAAACTGAATAATTGAATATCTCCTAATAAACCTTAGGAAAATAACAAATCAATAATTGATTAACCTAGAAAAAATTGCGCAGTTTAGTTGGGATATTGAAATTAGGATAATTGGAATATGTTCTGTATTGATTTCCTGCCTTCCAGTTCAGGGTTCATCTGAAGCCAAAACATGCACATAATGTTTATTCATAACTCCATAATAATAATAATAATAAGTACAATCATCTGTTGTTCTATTCATACTATTCTTACTATCTGTCTTTCATTCTTATTGCTGTTGCTGCTCGGACACCTGACGGGTGAACAGATTACCATACGGGGATTAATAAAGATTAATCTAATATTATCTTAATAATTGTGACTCAATAAAGAGAAAAAAAACGTAATCAACGGCGGTCTGCTCCTTTAAAGACTCGTACCTTTCCGGTCTTGATGTCCCGGACGTAGATGCCCTCGTTCTCGTCCAATGGGATGGCCTGTCGTCTCACCATCACCTCCACCGTGGCGGGGGGGACGTACTCAATGGGGCCCCGCAGCATCCAGCGGTCCCCGGGGCGGCGGAGCATGGCGCTCCTCCGCGAGCGCTTCGCCCTCTCTTCCTGCTGCTCCTCATCCTCCTCCTCCTCCTCCTCTTCTTCATCGCGCTGGCAGAGAGAACGGGGGAGAGAGAAGTGGAGGAGGGAGAGAAGGGTTAACGTGGCGATGCATTGGAGTGGTGGGGGAGTTGGAGGAGAGGGAGGATGAGGAGGAGAGGGAGGATGAGGAGGAGAGGAAGGGACGGGAGAGGGGCACTGAGAGAAACCCAAAGTGCAAAATATTTCGAAAGGAGGAGGAAAACGTAAAGGTTGGAGAAAGTGGAATGGTAGGGTTTGATTTAAAACAAAGAGAAGAGAGAAGAAGAAGAAGAAGAAGAGAGAGTGGAGGTATAAAGGTTAGGAGGGGGAGATGGTGCAGTCGAGGCAGAGCTGGAGAAGTACTCAGATCTTGTACTTAAGTAAAAGAACCAGAGTAGAAATACTCAGTTACAGTAAAAGTCCTGCATTCAAAATGTTACTCAAGTAAAAGTACAAAAGTATTTGCATCAAAATATACTTAAATTACCCAAAGTAATCATTATGCAAATTGGACCATTTTAGAATAATATATATGATATGTTTTATAATGATTGATCATGAAAGTGTTCTCAAAGCTGGTAAAGGTGCAGCTAGTTTGAATGACTTTTTATACCGCAGGGTAGCTTGTGAATTTACTCCAGGTGGAACTAAAGTCTGATTTAACACTTGATTATATTTCACATCATTCATCCACATCTTCAATAAATGTAGTGGAGTAAAAGTACACCATTTACCTCTGAATTGTAGTGGAGTAGTGAAACATGTAAATCAAGTAAGGTAAGTATCTCAAAATGGTGCTCAAGTACACTACTTGAGTAAATAAAGAAGTGAAAACATACTTGCAAAGGGTTAATGCTGTGGAAATACGACATCAAATGCATCAGTAAATACCTCACTGGTTAGTATATGAAGTGTCTGAAAAAAGCGCCGCCTTTAGCTCAGCAGAGTTGGTGGTGACCTCATGCAGCCTCGTTGCAGTTCCTTTATAGCCTATTAGCGTTTAGCTAGTTCGATTTTTTACTTCTCGATATTGCATTGACACATCTAAAAAGGGGTGTTATATGTGGAGATGATCCTGCTGAGCAACACGTGTAAGTATCATAAACCCTATAAGCGTTCTGTGAAGGGAACCATGGAGATGCTAACTTCAGGGTTAGCCTACAGTAGTAAGTCAGAACTGCACCACTCTTTTCCTTCTGATGTGTTTATGCACCATTATAGGCCAAAGCAAATATCTACCTGCTCAACAACACATGTAATCCTGGTGTTTCTTCACCCCTCTTTTGCACACACCCCTAATACACCAATCAGTGGTGTGAGGCAAGCTGCAAAAGACTTTGAACCTTGAACCACGGCGGGCAGAGACACACCTCTGACTCTTCACCTCGTACCAGCTGAAAGCATCTGCAGTAAATCTCTAATCCCGACATACCTCTGTTTGTTTTTCTTAACGCTTTTCTGAAATCAACCGGTTGCACAAGACAAGCTTCACGAACTCTCAGACCACCTCCCTACATTCCTCTGCACTCCCTCAGAGAAACCTCTGACACGGGGGAGGTGATTCTCAAGTTGAAGAAACACATTTGCAAAATGTATGACATCTAATGCTCATGAACACATATCTGTAGATACCTCCCATACGCTACATTCAAATGTTCAATACAGCATTGTCTATTTATTCTACTGTGGATTAGGATAATTTAGATCTACAGTATTACTATACTTTTTAAGCAATAATCTGGTTTTCAGAATAAACATCAATATTAATATTAATACACTGCTAAATATCATCAATCCAAAAATCAAACGCATCTACCTATGTGAACTTCAATGTATTACTTTTCATTTGAAGCGTCATTACAGTGCAGTGCTTGAATATAAGCTTGTGTAAAAGTGCATTTACTCAACTCGTTTACTTAAGCTAAAATGTGAGGTACTTCAAGTCAGTATTTTCACATCATGTTACTTTTTACTTTTACCCCACAAAACGTTATAGGCAAATATTTTATTTTTGACTCCACTTAATTTATTTGATGATATTAGGTTCTAGATAATTTGGAGGTTATTATTATAATGTGTATTTAATAATTATAATGAATTCTAATTCATTACAATTATCGACTAATATATGATAACATTAGCTCAACTTTTAGCAGCTGCTAACTTAAAGTGAAAGCATTACATTACATTGTATTTAGCTGACACTTTTATCCAAAGCGACTTACAATAAGTAAGATGAAAGCACATCAATGCAGCAGTAATTATTATATAATAATACACACTATTATGAAATGGCCATACTACATTAAGAGTATTTTTACTTTGCTACTTAAAGAACATAGTTGATGCTCATACTTTTGCAGAAGTAACATTTTGAATGCAGGGACTTCTAATCAAGTGTTTATACACTGCAGTTCTACTTCTGGATACGAGTGATTTCTGCCCTCACCTCCAGGGTGTCATTGAACGCCTCCACCGCTCTCAGCACCAGCCCCTCCTCCTCCGACAGCACGTACACGTCCTGGATGCCCTTTTCAAGTTGCTCGCCCGGCTGCAGGAAGAATGAGCGCTCACCCTGATGGAGAAAAAGAAAGACGGTTTTGACAGATAATGACCAATTAACAGAGAGCTGTAGTTGTTGTATTCCGACCCTGAAGCAAGCATCGCTCAAATGGGATTTTGCCATTGGATTTGGGATTACTGCAGAAAATATACCGTGTAGCAAACTAACCTTTCTATATGTGAATTTTGATTCATTTTGTCCCATTTGCCATGATCTGGGATATCATTTTTATAATTTGGTAGACAAAGTAAAAACCTTGAGTTAATCACCTTCGCAAATAATTTATGTAATTGCTTTTTTAATATTCCTAAAATGTATGTGCTTTTTGCTAATAAATAAATAATTAATAACATATAACGGCTGAATACAACTATTATAATGTACATAAAACAAATAGACCCATGCAATATATTTTTTGTTAATTGTTGTAATTATATTATCCTAATTTGTTTTTATCATATCATCTTGAAAATGTTTGAATTCATGTGTACACCTGCGTTATTTATGAAATGAATTAGTAACACTTATGGTTAAAGACTTTGTATTATTTGTCAGAGAAGTCCGTGGAGGCCCTCCTCACCTTCACCACTCTCTTCTGCCCCAGCTGGGGTTTCCCGTCATGGCCGACGGGGTCCAGGATGACGCAGTAGTGCCTGCTGCTCAGAGTGGTCACACACACCACCCCCACCACCTCCTCCGCCACGGACGGGATGTGGGCCTCCCTGTCGGCCATGGTCACCAGCCACTCCTCCCCCGTGCGCCGGTCCCGCCCCCCCGCGTCCTTAAATGGCCGCAGGGCGCGCACATGGAGCGCTTTCTGAGGACACACAAAACACACCACCAGGGAAGAGTTATCACAGGTGAGTTAAAATCACAAACACCTGACTTCAAAATCACTAACACTGGATTTTAAAATCACATATACATCAAGTATAATCGCCAACAGCTTATTTCAAAATCACAAATTCCTGATTTCAAAATAAAAAACAAATGATTCCAAAATTACAAACACCTGATTTTAAAATCACAAACACTTGATTTAAAAACAATCTCAAACATTTAATATCAAAATCACAAACGCCTGATTTCAAATCAGTTTTTCTGAGATTTCTGTCTATTTATTGTGTGTAAATCCTATTTTATACTTTAATTTTTCCTCCAGTATATTTATATCATTGATGATTCAGATGATTAATATAAAATATTGATAAGTGATATTTTATTATAGACCATTATTATATACCAAGCTACCCTGCAGTAAAAACATTAATGACATTACTCTCCTACTTTATCAGCTGCAACATTACAGTGTTAAACAAGTTAATGCATCAATAGTTAAAATATATAATACTAAAACATGTATTTTTGTGCAGAGTATTTTTTGGTTCTTTACTTTTTTTTTAATCAATTACATTTAGATTTGTCAGTGTGAATGTAAAAGCTGCAGATTTTGACGTCACCTTGTCGGTCAGGATGAAAGCGTTGACGATGTCGAGGACCTCCTCTTGAGCTCCTGGCAGGTACGCCCCCACCTTACTGACCAGCCACTCCTCACCTGGAACAGAGCTTATTATGATGATGATACACAAATAAAGTTTGAATAAATCTAAAATCTAAAACCAGTTTATATCACTATGTTAATGTTTGTGAAAGTGAGATGCAACATTACCACAGAATCCCACAAAGGCACACGACATTTGCACACCGTGCTCACATTTTGACATCTTTGTTCACATAGTGCAAACATTTTTATTTTGGGCAAATAGTCTTACAAACAATAACTTTATTTTATTGTGAGATGTTAGCTTATATGAATTGTACAATTATATTTGAATTGACGGATGTACCAGTATTTATATTTTTTATACATCTGTTTTTTTATCCGTTTTAATTGTTAGTGTGATAGGAAATGGCATATAGCATCATTAACGGATTTGTATGCATGATCCTTGTTCAATAAAGACATATAATAATAAAAACCTGTGATAAAGTATTTATTCATTAAGCTACTGAAATTATGTGTTTCTGATAGCGTCTGTCACCAAGATTTTCGGCACAAATAAAGTCTTTGCTAAAGCTAACTGTGAAAGAAGTCAAAGAGTGTGGCATAGGACATTGTGTCTGAGTCACCTGTGACCCTGCGGACCCCCCCGCGGTCTACGCCCTCCTTGCGGGCCCTCAGTCTGATGGCCTGGTTCTCCCGGATCACTGTCGCCTTGATGGTCTCCAACACGGCCACCTCCTTCCTGGGGATGTAGGTCCCTGACACACACACACACACACACACACACACACACACACACACACACACACACACACACACACACACACACACACACACACACACACACACACACACACACACACACACACACACGTCATACATGTGTAATATGTTTTTAAAAATACTTTAAATACTTTAAATATGTTAACTATTAAAAAAATAATTTAAATATTGTGTTGAACATGTAAAATATGTCTAGTATTTGAAACATGGAAACTTTTTTTTAATCTAAAACAGGACAGATATCTTATATATGTCCAATATTTATAATTTGTTCATTTTGTAATACATTCTAAATATTCTTAAAAAGGTCAAATATTTAACATATTTTAGAAATGTTAAACATTTTAATATATTAAATCAAATAACATACATTTGTCAGGTATGTTAAACACATCAAATATGTTAACATTTCAAAGATTTTAAATAAGTTAATTTTGTTGTAAATGCAATGCATTATTTTACATAATGTATATTACACATGTCAAATATGTTAGATAATTATATTTCTTTAAATATATTACATTTGTCAAATGTGTAAAATAGGTCAAATATGTCATTGTTACATAGCAATTGTGTTTTACTAAAAATCATAATAACAATTGTATTTGTTGACTTATAGGGTAAAGTATCTGACCTGCTGCACCTCCTCCCCTGGGTACAGGGGGAAGGGGTCCTGGGTGAGGCGGATCTCCAGGTCGGCATGGCGAAGCTTGGCCTGCCCTGATTGGTCGAAGAGCACCTGCTTGTCATCGTCGCGGGTGACTGGGTTGAGGACCACGCAGTAGTGACGCGGCGGCACCATCACCATCCGCACCGGCATGAACAGCACCCTGTAGAGGGGGGGGGCACTGTTACTACACATCCATTATAAACAGCAGGACACACAACTGCCATTAAAACTAATGGATAATTAACATCTCTATTCACTTAATATTTTAAAAGCTTATCATAAATTGTATTATTCTTTATTTTTATTAGATTCAGTTTTTGGAATCCGTATTATTATAAGTTGTATTATTATTATTTGTATTATAAGTAGTAGTAGTAATACAAGTATTAGTGGTATAAGTATTATTGACTGTACTGTACTGTACTAGTATAATTTGCAGTATTATTATTGTGTTATTATTAGTATTTGTAATTTTAGTAGTAGAATTAATAATATAATTTATATTATTAGCTATTATTATTATAGCTGCACCATTGTTTCAGACTCTTTATTGTAATAGGTTCAATTTTTTTATTTCTTCAATGTTCTCTGTTCATATATTTCACAACTCTTAATAATATATATATATTTTAAATTATAATAAGGATTATTTATTTGCTGTGTTTTGATGACAGTAGTCATCTGACCTCTCGTTGTCCTGGCGGATGTAGGTGAGTGGTCCGATCTCCACCCGGGCGATGTTGGTGTTCTGGTCCAGCACGTGGATGTAGTGATGGGGGGGGATGCGGATGATGGACGCCTCCACCGAACCCTCCATCTCCGGCCTTTGGTTTCCTCCCTTCTTAGACATGATCCCAACTAGATGCTGCAGAGAGGAGCGGAGTGTTGATAATAATGTTAAAGGGAAAACAGTTCACAGCTCTCTAACATGAGGTTCAGCTGCTCTTGATATATTAAGATCTCATTTATTTTAAATGTTAAATCAATGGTATTTTGGCATTTAAAGGGGCCCTTTTATGCTCATGTTCAGAGTCATATTAGTATTTAGTGCCTCTACTGTGAAGAAATAAGGTCTCACTCATTTAATTTAATCTTTATAGGGGAACTATCATGCAAAATGCACTTTTTGATGTCTTGTATACATGAAGATGTGTCCCCGGCGTGTCAGGGAACTCACGCAGCGTCAGAAAATAAAACCCTCTATCTTTTCCTCCGTACCCAAATCTCTAAAAACGGGGCTACACCGGAGCTGATCCAGATTTGCGGCCAATATGACGTAATATCGGAAATGTAGACCTACGGCACTATCAGAAACATTGCTATCAGAAACAATGCCCGACTGTTTTGGACGTAATATGGTCGGTGTTTACATTAGCATCGCTAACACTCAGAGCTAACCTGTACTGGAGAGCGTGTGTGTGAAGAAACAGGAAATAAAAAGGAACTCACCTTGTGGTACAACCGGCAAGAGAGAAAGCCTTTGAGCTTCAGTTTTCAGAAATAATCCTTGATAATCCATGATATGGTGTTTCATCACGACAGTATTTAGTTTATTGTTTACTTTTTTTTTTATCAATTCTTTTTTTTTTTTTAAAGCTTTATACCCAAAATCAGCACTTTTGAAACAGGAAGTGAAATAGAGGGATATTAGGCATGGCTAGAATGGGTGATCTGTTTGGTATTTTGAGCAAAACACTTCATAGACATGTTTTTAATATATTTGTATATATCCGAGACCTATGCTGTTACCTAAAAATAACATGATAGATGACCTTTAAAAAAAAACTTTTCAGACAAGAAACCAGTCACTTTTTTTAACTTAAGTTGTACCATTTTGTTCTATTGTATTATTATTTTATTTATCTTTTATTTGTTTACAATTTTTTTATCGAAACAACTTGTGGACTGAGATTGAGTTCGTCATTTTGTTCGTCTGTCAGCAGAGCCTTTGTGTGATTGAGGATAAAATCAGTGTGTCTCTGCTGTGAGAAGATAAAGTGATCACTGTGCACACTATCAGGATTTACATGACATTAACCTCTTTCTCACTGCTATGGATCAATACTCAGATAGCCATACAATTACAAAACGTGAGTAAAAATTCATTTTGTGCTGACATTCAAAGTTTATTCTCATTAGTTTTTGTTCAGCTGCTTAGTTTTAATGCTCCATACATCTGGAAAAAAGACAGCTTCATTTTCCACTCACTCATTGTTTTTAAGTTGAACAATTTTATTTTTATTAATAATTTATTTCTTCATTTTATTCTATTTCATTGTTGTTTTATTTTGTGTTATTTTAATAATAAGTGTTTCGACTGAATTTAAGTTGTACCATTATATATATATATATTTTTAACAACAATTATAATGTATATTATTTTTATAATTTAATTATGTTTGATTATGTTATAATCATTTTTCTTTTGTTAAGAGCATTATTCAGTTATCTGTAGCTCTACTGTTTATCTGCTATGTATTGAGCACTTCTCATGACTGCAGTAATCAGTATCGGTCAAAGTTTAAACATGACTCGGAGAAAAGAGCTGGAGATTAGGGTTCTTTCTAAGTTAAACTGTAGAAACCTGAACAGAGAACTCCCTGTGAGATTTAAAGATGAAATGAAAAATTAGTTTTCTATTCAAACGTCAGGCATGAAGTTCCGGTACAGAGACACGCCTGCGGCACACAATGAGGCGTTCACTGAACACACAGCTTAGAATAACACTCACTGTAATTCTGCAGTTATGTTGTTTCAATATATAAATACAAGTTAAGAAATATATACATAAAACATGAAAAATAGTAGAAGACATTGTTTTATTCCATTTTTTATAATTGTGTATGTACAGCTTTTAAGTTGAAATTGTTTAGTTTTTATTGATTTAATTGTTTTTAGGTTGTATTATTTAATTTGTTCTCATCACTTTTGTTGTTTGTTATTACATATTTAAGTAGTATAAATGTCCTTCTTTTATTGTTATTTCTTAACACTTTTTTATCATAATGTAATATTAAGAATTGTATCATATTTTATTGTTATTTTATTGATTATGCATTTAATTATATATATATATATATATTACTTAGCTGTCTTACTTGATAACATCTTACAAAAGCTTTTGCAATATGATGATTTATTTTTGACAAAAAAAAAAAGACTTTGGAAAACACCATAGGGAAACATACAAACTATAGAGTAATACATACAAACTGTATTAAGTTGAATCAACTACAAAGGAAAATGAGTAAGTATTGCACATTTTCATTGCTCACTGTCTGTAAACAGAATTAGAAGCATGATTGAATTAAAGTTCTGCTTGGCTGCTCACCAATGTTTCATTTAGAGATTAACTGTCAATTGTGTTATGGATTATGGTTTAAATGATAGATTAGGTAAAAAAGGGTTAGGGCCTGAGTCATGTTTCCAACATGGTATCATTACAAGGAGACTGTCACAAACAAAGATGGAACATGTCTCAGATGGGAGGGGCCCAGTCTGCATAACATAAACTGCATTGTATAGTAGGCCTACAAAGTACATATGCCTGGAATGCATTTTACAGCCAGTCCCATATACACAGCTATGAAGCTAACTTGGAAACTGCGTCAATCAACTTCCTGGTAATCATTTCAACGCCCTGACTAATTGCCACCAAACCTCCATTGCAAATCCTGGACATTTAACGTTGACTTCCGTGTTTGGTAGTGTTTACGCCTGAGAACATGGATTAAAACCATTTATGAATAAATAGGAAGCTGTTTCATACGGCGTACATAAATAACTACAAAGTAGCTACAATATCAGATAGGCATTTGAATGTATAAAAACGCTCAACTGCACTGTTTGACGCCTATGTCCTTTTTATAGAAGGAGACAGGGAAATAGAATAACAACAGTTGTTAAAGTTGAGATTTTGTTCAATTTAATTCTGCTAGGAGTATCACATGCATGCCGATCTGAAGTGAGGCATCTCCTCTTTCAGAAACAAATCTTAAAATATTTCCTATCAAGCATTAATCTTTGCCTACACGAAATAACTTTTAAAATAGGAGATTTTTGAGCGGAGTTCTGCTCGCGACATAGAGCTGTGTTCTTACCTTGCTCCTAAAAGGCTCGGCAACAGTGTAGACTAGTCTGGAAAGACTTCCTGAGCTACATGGAGACAGTTGAGAGCGGTGGGTGTGTGCTTACCGGAAAAGTCACGTGATTTACCGACTGACTGCTGCTGCAGAGGCAGAGGTGCGTCACTGTAGAGGGCTGACTATTTGATCTAAACACTCCACACAAACCTTGAATTACGTAGGGAAATGGTTACTCTGTTAATGCACAGGACCTGCACAGTTCATTATTGGGATGCATTTATATTGAATGGTGCAAAAGTGAGTCAAAAATATAACTGAACTTAATAACCTGTCTGCAACAAAAAGAGTAAAAAAGAAATGTGGAAATATCAATAGGAACAAATAAATACAAATAGATAAGTAAATAAATACTTGTGGAAATAAAATAAAATGAATAAATCAAACAATAAATGAGGATTTCCAAAAATATAATAATAAATAAATAAAAAGTTGAAATATTAAGAGAAATATAAATAACCAATAACGAAAAATGAAACTAATACAAAAATAAAATAATAACTAAAACTCTTTTTTATTTAAAGTAGAAAAAAACCACCAAAAAAAACATGTAAACGTGGAAATACAACAATACATAAATAAATGAATAAGCAAAAAAAAAGAGGTGGAATTATAAAGATGAAGAATCACAAAATAAAAAAGAATTATTTTAATCTTATACATTTTTCACATTTAATTTTTCATTTATATTTGTTTATTTTTGCAAAACTGGATATAGTGAAGCAAACAAATATTGTGTTCTTGATCCCGTGTTCTTCTCTTGTTCTGGTTTGTATGCATTTGTACATTATTCTTTGTCAATAAAGAAAAAAAAGAGTCAGACAAGCAGGTTAACATCATAGACATTTAATGGTTAAAAATAATACAGCCAGGGAGGACAGAGAATATCAAAATAAAAAAACAAATACACATACCCACACACATCCAATAATATGCAGTCTGATAAGCTACTGTAGAGAGGTGACAGGTTCAAATCCTTTTCAAAAATAATAAATAATTCACATAAGGTATTACGTTTCCTCCGTTAATCTTGGAAAAAATTGTAATAAAATTACAATTTTTATAAAATAATAGTGTAATTCCTCCTCCCAAATATTACATTTCACGATTCAATCTTGGAAATGTATATTTTCTTTCCCCAAAATAGTATATTGAAGATTGAGAAAATGTGTCATTTATTTTACGAATAATTAAATTGACAATTTTTATTACGGAAGTTACGAGTTTTTTTCCACTGAAATGTTGAATTGACAAATTGAATCTAGGACGTTTCTTGTTTTTTCCCCAAGATATGACCTCTCTCCCCTTTGAAATGTAATGTATTTATTTTTGCCCTAATATGTCGAATGAAACACAACTTACCTTTATTCAAATTACACATTTCCAAAAAATGATAATGGGATAATGGAAGTACACAATTCAAGTGTTTAGCCGTTGTTAATTATTTTAATGTGGAAGATATGTATTATACCTTTAAGAAATGGCTAAGGATGATTAAGAAAAATGAAAATAAATGATTAAAGTAAAAATAATTGCTCTTTTTCCCTTTTGTTGCTCCATTCAACCGTCCACGGATCAACCCTAGCAGGACGTTTCTGGTTTGTTATGAAGACAATACATTCATATTTTAGGAATGTGGAGGCTGCAGAGACTCTGCCAACATTTATTTTCTTCTTTATTGGATTTATTGTAGTTTTTTCCATTGCTGGATGTTCCTGAGCCTCGAGAGATAAAAACACACACAAAGCATCGCATTCACACACATTCATTCACATTATCGCGCACCAGTTAACTGTCACTTTCACAAATGAATCATGTTTAGATAGAGCTGAATATCCAGAAGCTGCTGCAGGCTGCACCGTGACAATATCGCTTCATAAACATATTTTTGTGAAAATATTTGAGGAAAATATGTACAAAGACTTTGGTTGAATATCTGCTCCTGTATATAACTCTAGTGTACAATATACATATTTAGATAACTCTAATTTAAATACTAATTTGGCTATAATGAATATCAAAAAATAGTCTGTATATCACTGAACATGCTTCCCTTTGTGTGAACATGGTCGAGCACTTTTACAGGTTTCAGTTTGAACGACACAAACGAACGGACGACGAACGCACACGGTTAAGATCAATTGGCATAAAATAAATGTTTTTTTTTTTTAAATATTACAAAAAGGTAAAATGCTTGAAATGGTCAGACATGTTGGATAGAGAGCCAAAGTGTTCCACTAGTCAGAAAGAATGTTTCTTTTAAAATATTATTCAATTGATTTTATTTGTTCCATTATTTTTAAGTAATTGTGTAAGGAAGAGGATTCAGGCCACCTATGAGTGGACCAAATGGGATTTTTTTTCTGAATAAAAAAAACAAAGAAAAATACAGAATTCTGAGATTTTCAGTAAAAAAAATAATTCAGAATTCTTACTTTAAACTCAGAATTCTGACTTTAAACTCAGAACCAAACCAAAGGTGACCCTAATCCTCTTCCATATTTGTGTAGTTATTTATTAACTTTGTTTTAATGTCAATTTTCTTGTTAAGGTTTATTATAATTATTTTTGTGTTATTTTTCCCTATTTTATTTGTATATATATATATATACGTTAATGTTCCATTATCATATTAATAATAATAATAATAAACCTTTTTCTTTCCTTTGCGTGCATAGTTAATTTTTATTTTCTATTAAACCTTTTTGAAATAAAGTCTAGAAGGGACTTCAGCTCTCTATTATGTCATAATGATAAATATTTGAGTAACAACATTAGTTTAACAATAACCTTAATCATTTGCGGCGGACTTTCTGATGAAGTACCGCTGGTCCAACTTTTGCTTGGTTAAAGTTTCTGTTAAAAAACACGACGACACGAGAGATAACAAAAGTCTTGAGTCCAGATTGTGTGAGACACAGCGGAGGACGTAGTCAAAAGACGCACAGCAGAGATCGAGTGCTGGTGTTCTCCTCGGACTGCGTTCAGCATGTAGTTCAGAGTCAAACGTTCTTTTTACCCACACTCCTTCACTTCCTGAGGTTGAGGCTTTGATGAAAGTCTTCAGTCCAACATGGCGTCCAGCTGGTCGGCCAGGTCGTCGAACATGTTGCCGATGTCATCCAGGATCGTCCCTGCGGACTTCACCTGGTTGGATCCCCTGGTGAGAAACAATAGATGTAAATATAAGAAGTGTTACATTCTACTGCCCCCTTCAGGCCAATTCATGTTATATGCATCCACGAGGGTCTGCAGATGACGTTATTCCAGTGGCGGTTCTAGAACATTTTACATGGGGTGGCAAAGGGGGGGCAAGAGGTCATGCCAGGGTGGCATGGGAGGGAGGACAGTACGTGGTATTTTGTACTGTATATATACCGTAATTTTCGGACTATAAGCCGCGCCTTTTTTCCCATTTTTCGACCCTGGGCTTATATAACGGTGCGGCTAATCTATGGATTTGTACAGCTAACGGCCACTAGGGGACCTCCTAAATCTATGGATTTTACAGGTTACAGTCCACCACCTATAAGCTCTATGGCCGGTCCGCGCCCCCCACCTTTAAGCGGCGGGCTCCAGCAGGAAAAGCTGGAGGCCGGAAAAGAGTTAGACAGGTAGCGTGCAAAAGTAAAAGTGGAACCGAGAGTGGTACGAGAGACAGAACGAGAGCAAGACAGACAGACATTACGAGAGCGAGACAGTTTGTCCCCGTACCACTGGTTGAAAACCACTGCTGTAGATCACTGCCGGTACGTGCGCTGGGAGGGCACCGTTTAAGTTTAACTTAAACGGTGCCCTCCCAGCGCACGTACCGGCAGTGATCTACAGCAGTGGTTTTCAACCAGTGGTACGGGGACAAACTGTCTCGCTCTCGTAATGTNACCACATCTGTCAACTGTTGTGAACATGGGAGTTCTGTTTGTGCATTTTTCATGTTTTGCTGATGACATAATGTGTTTAGCGTACACCCTGTAGTCTGAAGCCCTGAGGGTATTTGGAGGACGCAGGCATCGTGTTAATGAAAAGCAATCATTTACCGGCAGAGGAGCTTCTGGAAGTCCTTTTTATACTAAGAATAGGCAGTCTTTTTATAGCAATTGCAAATGACTCATTCCTGTCCCCTTGGAGAGGGATAAAGGAAGGGTGGACCGGGGGGCGACTGAGGGGCGGGTTCCACACGGTTTCAAGAGGTTTCAATGCAAATTAGAAATCCACCCTCATCATTTCTTCCACTACCTCCCTGCTTCTCACCCACCATCACCACAGTCAGCCCGGCATTGCACCGGGGCCTGAAGGTGGAAGAAGTGCGTCTCACCGCCCTCTGTTGAAAATGTCACTTACGAACGCATGCAGTGATTTATGCTACATGTTGGAGAGGGACTTGTGAACTGACACGTTCATTCCAATTGCAAGTGCTCTTCTAGTGCTGTGTGTTAAGGGCTGTCAGTTAAATTACTCCTTAGTTTACACATGTCACTACTGCTTAATGTGATTATCACTGGTCACAAAAAAATTTTAAACTGTCTTTGGAAATGTCATGGGGGCGAGGGGGGGGGGTTGCTACTGTGAAGTCGCCGGGCCCCTAGCTGGGGCTACTGCGAGCGCACAGGGATCTGCACTTCCACAAATATAATACCAAAAAAGAATTTTCAGCCTTGATGTAAACAACATTCTATTAAGTAAAGATCACACCCTTTTCACCCCGGTTACATTTTCATTTGCCCTGTAGATGGGCGCTGTAAGTATGAAAGTGAGGGAAGTTGGCTTTATCGGGCGCCGCAGCTCACAGCCAAAGTGAGAGAGATAGATAGATAGTAGATGATAGATAGAGAGAGGGGGTGCACCGGTACCCGGCGGGGATGTTTGTTAGTCTGCTGCGCTAACGGATATAAGAATGCTGGTTTCTAGCAATAATGTGAGAGAGAGTTCTGTCCTGTCAGCTGAGAGGCTCAGTGAGGTAAGGACTCTGAGGTTTTAGAATCGCTCACTTTAGTGCTAAATTATCTCAGTGGTGGTCTCAAAGTTTTGATCACAATTTTATGTAAACAAATCTTCAAAGGGACACCTTTATAATTATTAGGATAAATAAAAAAGTGTTTGAAATCCATTCCAAATGTCAACTATAGGACAGCAAACCAAAAATATTGGTTTAAAACTGGAGAGATTTAAAATATGCAAAATAAATAAATAAATGTAACTGGTTAAAAAAGTATAAATGAACCACAAAAAAAACAAGTTAGCCTATTCTATTTGTATTGGCTATGGTAGCGTTATCGGTTATGTTCACAGACAAACCGATCTTTCACATGGGTGTTTATGAGTTGGTATCCCCTAGATCAGCATCTAGTAATTGGGCGCTCAAAGTGCACCAGGGTTAAGTATTTTACTTTTAAAATGTTAAAAAAAATCTTTCCCGGGCGGGACACCCCCAGACCCCCTTAGGGATGTGAAGTCCACCCCCCCATTCAAACATGTTCATCATATACTAAATACATTTGAAGCCTTTATATAAGCTGTCCACCATTGTCAACTACGTTTCTCTTTTTGCCCAGTGCTATTGGTCTTTTGTAGACGGTTTATTTGCAGCCAAATGAGATGCCGGACGTCATCAGGTCGCGCATCAAGAATGGGTCAACACCACCGTAGAGTGAACGTGTGGAACTCACACGAGAGAGACCACACCAGATGAAACATGATCCATCGGTCATGACGGCATGAAGCATTTTCTGCTAAAAGACGGGCAAGCAGTATCACTTGTCCTTCAGGACAGTGGAAGGGGAACTATTCGCAGTACGTTGCTACTAGTCCGGGAGCTGCTGAGAGTCGACTGTGGACTCCCTACTGCTGACATACTAACATGGAAAAGCTGTCTGCTGCTGCACAAGAAAGCCAGAGCCAACTCAGGTGGGGGGCCACCACGCACTAACCACTAAAAACGACAGTAAGTAGCCGACAAGATATTGAAGCTGGTCACACATCGAACGAGTAAATGAACACGAGCAATGAGGCGAGAAGTGTCTGGGGTGTGTGTGGTTTGGTGTGCGTGTGTGTGTGCGCGTAGTGTGATGTGTCGAATACATAGACAGCCAATCTTTAAAAAAAAAATCTATTCCTTTTTCGCAATCGCATTGTAGTATAGAGATCAGATAAAAACTTCGCATGTGATCTCTAATCAAGGATTTTAGCCCGCCATTAGCGAGAGTTAGCCGCATAATCAAGGCGATTCTAGCACATAATCAAGCGTTAGACGCCATAACAATGGAATTTTGCCGCGTGTTTCTGGAGGGCCATGAGCTGACGAACCTGTTGAGTTACAAGTGACACAATCAGCCAGTTCAAGGAAGTAGCGAGTCGCCAATACAAACAAGACCTACTAGATTTGGCTTTTTTATAGATTTTGTATGAACAGCCCTGCCACAAAATATGTTATATGCTTATTAGTAGGTCCATTATTAGTTTGAGGACTCTGCACTTCATTGACTGCTGATTGTGTAAGTGTAGAACTCACACAGGTCTCGTTACTTCTCCATAACCCTCCAGAAACACGCGGGCAAAAATCCTTGATATGCGGGGCTAAAATCTTGATTAATGTGGGCTAAAATCCTTGATTATGCGGGCTAAAATCCTTGTTATGCGGGCTATAAATCCCTGATTAATGCGATTAAACATGCGGGGTTTTTATGTGATTTTATGCGGTGAAATTTGCGGGAAGTTGGCGAAAAAAGAATAGATTTTTTTTAAATATCGGGCTGTCTTATTAATCCCCACAACACACTACACACACACACACACACACACACACACACACCACACACACACACACACACTTCCTCCGCCTCATTCTGTTTTCTCATTACTCGTTCGATATCTGACCAGCTTCAATCTTGTCGACTACTCACTTTCGTTTTCTTGGTTGATGCCTCGGTGAACGTGGAGTTGCTTGGCCTTTCTTGTCCGCGCAGCAGCCGAAAGCATTTTTCCAATGTTTGAATGATCAAAGTGGGTCCGTCACCGTCGAACTTTACGTCTTTTATGCTCCAACACACAGTTGCACGGGGTGCAGAATAGTTTCCCCCCACTTTCGGGAAAGACATCGGCGGTACTGCTTGCCGGTCTTAGCAGGAAATGGTTCGTCGGAAATGAGATGGATCAGATTTTTTCATCTTGGTGTTTTCTCTTCGTGTGAGTTCCACACGTTCACTACGGTGTTGTCCTTCTGTGATGCGCGACCTGATGACGTCACGTCATCTTATCATCATCACTACTTCACGTCAAGACGATTAACTTTCTTCTCTCAACTTTGTGTGTAAAATGCGGGGATACGCAGCCTTTTCATACATATGCAGCCTTTTTAAAAAATCTGTGCCATTTTCTGATTATGCGGTAATTCCTGCAATGCAGAACGCGTTTTTCTGGAGGGTTCTAATCTCAGCTTTTATTAGTTTTCATATAACTTTCTAATCCTCATGCTTCTCTTGCAGGATATGTTTGGACACGAGATTGCGCTGTCCTAGAGTTAACGTGGACCTGTGTTGTCCTGCTGTCTTAACGCCTGTGAGGCTGTCGACTTCTCTACACACCAGCTGCCCACTGGGACTTTCTGCCATCAACCACTACGGCCAGCCCGACGTTAGCGCATGTTCGCCTTCACCTGCATGTACGCTTTCGAGAACGCCGCCATGGTTGCGCCAACGCACACGGCACCGCTGCTGACGGGGCTCGTGGCCGACAGCCGTTGGAGTGGAGTTTTTTAAAGCTTTTCCATAGCCGCGTTCACACCGGAGTTACTTTCCACTTTAGTTCGATATAGTTCCGAAATGTCGCGTTCACACCAAATATAGAGCCGGACTAAAATAGTTCATGAAGAACCTTTTTACCCCTTTTCCGACTTCATGCGGCTCCTTGGTGAGAAAAGAGCTAATATGTTGATTTGCTGGGCGGATTTGCAAACCACGCCCCGTAAACTCAAAAAAGTTTTGTGAAAGCCACCATTTTATTACCTCGCATTCGACATTATTAGATTAGCTCAGCGCAGAAACGCAGAGAGACTAACTTATGGCAACACAAAATAAAACATGGGAGCGGTGGAGATGAGGAGGTGTCGGCGTTCTGGCGATTTACTCGGAAGGCTTCAGTAGAAGCTGCTGGGAGTCCCAGCAGCTTCTACTGAAGCCAGTCCCCAACTCCGGGGACTTCCGGCCGGGGATTTTGGGCGGCAGTATACGCCGTGAAGTTGTTTGCAGCCTGCCAGTAAACCCAAAGCAGAAGAAGAAGAAGTGACGTCAGCGGCTTCATTTGCCTAATCCACCCCCAGGGACTTATTCTGGTGTGAACGCGATCTGTACTTAGTTCATCAGAACTAAAGAGTTCTGATGAACTAAGTTCTCATGAACCTTTGTGGGAAAAGTACTGCGGTGTGAAAGCTTCTCATGAGACCAGTTTGCTCTTCCACACGTGTGATGTTTATGCTGTTCTTCAAAGGTCCCATAGTCGGGATGTTTGGATTATCAAGCAGGTCTAGGTGTTATATATATTCTATTCTCATTTTCGGTAAAAGATCTGTCAGGACTTCTGTAATGTTGTGATGTCAAAACTATACTATATATACATAGAAAGTGCTGCTGCAGTCATTACCCTTGCTGCAATGGCGATGCATAGAACCCAAGAGCTCAATACTTAAGACCCAGAAACACTGACCAATCAGAGCAGACTCGGCTAATCCAGGAGAGGGTACTGAAAGAGACAGTTGCTAAAACTGAGCGTTTCAGAAAGAGGTATACAGGTATATTCAGAAAGAAATTATTAATAAAAATATGTGTTTTTTCAAACATAAAAGCACGTAAACATGTTTTTAGTAGGAAACCTTAATACAAGTATGAAGCTGAAATGTAGCATAATAGGTCCCCTTTGAATCTTGTTTCACAGGCAGAGCTCTACCTCTTTTTGTTATTATTATATCTACAGTTCTTCTGTGGCCATATTTGGTTGTTGAATTTGGTGTTGATGTTTCTCCAGCCCTTCTGGCCCATGGGCACTGGTATCGCCCGAGGATTCCTGGCAGCCATGGACTCCGGCTGGATGGTGAAGAGCTGGGCTCAGGGAAAAACTCCACTCGAAGTCCTAGCTGAGAGGTAAGGGTGTTGAAACACTGAAACACATACCATATTCTTGTACTTTACACACATGCATGCACAGACACACAAGCATAATATCTCTCCTCTAACACACCCATTTATCTCTAAGTGCTTTACTAGGAAATGTGCCTGTACTGTATGTGATTTCAAGCACCAGTCCCACCGCTGCTAGTACTAATGGGATAAGAGGCTCTGAATGGAATGTGACTGTACTGTAGTGTGCCGTTTGATAACAATGACAATGTGTACATTATTTATACTACACTTATTTTGTTGTTTTCCTCTTTGCTTTAGGGAAAGTATATATCGTATCCTGCCTCAAACCACGCCAGAAAACATCAGTAAGAACTTCAGTCATTACAGCGTGGATCCAACCACACGTTACCCCAACATTAGCCTTAACTTCCTCAAGCCAAGCCAGGTTAGTACAACAAATCTCAGCTGCCATATTTGAAAAGCAATACAAAAAACACATGTTATCTTCATGGAATTCAATATTTTGGAATTGCAGATATGTAATACAATGTGTTTTTTCCCCAGGTGAGGCACTTCTGCGACACAGGGGAGGCCAGGGAAATGTGCATCGAAACGGAGAATGTGATCAACTCGTCGACACCCAAGTTGGCCAGGAATGGTTCGTATCTATTACATGCTCTAAAAAAACCAATATAAACTTTTTTGTAGTTACAAAATAAATTTTTCAATATGCTGACTGATCAGTTTAGGATGTTGCTGCAATCACTGTTGCTGAAATGTAACAATGAACTATTTCCACTCTAGACAATTGTCTGCTTGACAAGCAGCTGCAAGGTAACACAAAGTCCGAATGCATGGTGTTGCTTTTCAGGGACTCCTAATAGCTTTAACAGTTTGAAAGTCTACCGGCTGAGTACTCATGAATTAATCATGTTAAAATTAGTAGTGGAATGATGGAACTCCTGGATGGACTGATGCAGCCGCTTAGAATTTCTGTGTGTACTAACTGGGTCCTTGACATTTGGCTTTGACCTCCCCTTTTATTTTGTTTGTACATTTTTAGCTGAATTTTATTTGTTTTCCTGTAAGTTCTCCATCCTATCCTAACCTCTCATTTGCATCCCTCCATTTCTCATGGTTAATAATACTTCCTCATTGGCTGGTTAAAACTGGTACTAACATGGTTCATGACGCCATGGATGACAACATTTTATGATCCTTTGCTCAGTCTTGCCTGACCAAGGCCATGAGTTTGGCCAGCTATAAATGTGTAGTGCTTCCCAGAAACAGTTTATATTTCTTTCCATGTTCAAGCTGCTGTGGACCATAAAGCCTTACAATTTCTCTTTCTGCCAAACCAGAATCAATAGCTAGATCCAGTAAGCTGCTGAACTGGTGCCAGAGACAAACGGAGGGATACAGGAATGTTAAAGTAACGGACCTTACGATGTCTTGGAAGAGCGGTCTGGCTCTGTGCGCCCTCATTGACAGATACAGACCGGACCTCATGTGAGTATCTGAAAGAAATACATACAAAACCATGAATGACCCATCTGAACTCGTACTCTGTCATATCGGTTTGCAAGACAATAACTTTTAAAATGCTTGTTTTCTTAATTGGGTCTGGATCACTCATCGCTATGCTAACATTGTAGCATCTCAATTAACACTCACACTAAAGTCTTCTTAATAAGGCATAAATATGGCATTGAAATTATTGCTTTTACACATATATTAACATTCTTTGTAAATATATAAACTCACCGGCATTTAAGATGTTTATAGTTGATGACAGGAGCCCACACAAAAACGTTTTCCCCTATTTCTGGACTAGCAACATCAGGATGTTGTCAAATGCTGATAGGCTTTTGCAGCACAGTGTCACCCATATGTTGCTGTATTAAACGCAGCGTTCCTATACCACACCATAAAGAGCAGTGATTAATACAGATGGAAAATTAGTTTTGCAATAAAACATTGCCTCTTCAAGGCATATCTCTCGATGGAAAGAATGAAAGGGTTAAAACTGCCGCAGTGCCTGGAATGACCAGCCTGCTGTGTTTATGCGTGTTTATCGGTTGCAGATAATGTTTATTGTCTGTTTGGGACCTTGGTTTTGAGTTGTGCATCACTGTAAATGAGGTGACAGCTACGAGCCATTATGGCCTCTTGGGTAATTTAAGGGAGAACCTCCTCATGCCCCCCCCCCCACACACAGAAACACACAACAAACAACACATTCCCCATCTGCATTGCCTAATGTAGTTTATTACCCTCTAGAGGCTATATTGCTATTAACATTAGAAGCTATTAGTGTCTCTGCCCTGCTTGACCTTTACCAAGTACTGCAGCAGTTGTGCTCTGCTGCCTTTGATAGGCCAGATGATGGGAGGAGGAGGAGGGAGGGGTGGAGCTACCTTGGGAAAACTGCGTTCACGTGTACGCATGTAGAAGATGAACGATAAACAGGGATTCAGTGGAGAGTAAGCTCTGTGGTTGCTGGGAGGTTTTGATGCTTTTAAATGGACTGTATGTGCAGTGCAGATGTATTGAGGACTCAGCTTAATGGTATTTTCAACTGCAGTATAATGACATTTAGTAATGCTTTCCACAACATGGACAGTATCCTGTTGTCAGAAAGGCTTCCTGATTAGTATGTAAGGCAGGCTCAATGTCAGTTAATTGATATCTAAAGCTGCTTTGGAGGAAAATATGGATTTGCTGCCTCTTCGCTAACTTTGCTAATTCATCAATAACTGAGACAGATATTTGATACCTTCATTTATTGATTCGTGTGCAAGATGATCATCAATCATATGCTATTTCAAAGAAATTGTATGCAAACCTTCATTTCAAACTAGTAAAACATCAATCATGATGTTTGGGATATTTTTAAGAAATGAAAGCTGCAATAATAACATTAATTTATAATATATCAAATGTGTGCAATGTAAATTGGGGAGCTCATAGTGTCTTACCACGTCATTTCTGCGATTTCTCTCAACTCTATTGAGTTTTAAAGTTTCTGCCAGCTCATTGTTTTTGTATTACAACCCACGACTGCTTTGTTTGAATCTCACGCTCATAGCATTGTTTCTTTCCATCCACACCAGGCAGATGTTTACAGAAACAACCAACCATTACCTCTCAGACATACAGAGTTAGCAATAAGCACAGTGGAGCATTTTGCAGCTAGACATCCAGATATATCCCTCAGGAGGTGGTAGCCGCAAAACAGGGCTCAAGGATGGGTGAATGTTGCACTTACATTAGTCAAATAAATAATGAATGATAATGTGCCTATATGTTTGTCGCATTTGTAAATATGGTGCTAACACGTTTGCTCGTGACATAATGGTGATGTTATGTTCACAGCTTGTTTCTGCTTCACTCAATGGGACAAAATAATCACACCATAGTTCGCCAAAAGTATACCTTAATTGCTCTTTCTTTACGTTATCACAACACAATATATATGATGTAATGCAGTTATGTTGTTCAAGTATTTTCACCTTTCAATCACAATACAGTAGGTCAGGTTTTAATATAGCAATCAATGGAGAATCGTAAAGCTAATGTCTTGAGCTGAAATCATTTAACAATTCCTTAATTGTTGAATTATTTTTTCGGCAACATTGCAGACAAGACTATTTAAAGTATCTCAAACATGGAGATGCCCTTTTTTTATCTGTTTCATATCATATTAAACTACACAGGGTTCTTACGGTCATTAAAAACCTGGAAATGTAACTAAAGTTGCATCAAATATAATTTATATTTTATCTAATCGCCAAAATAGTAATACTATAATGATAATAAATACTGTATCGTATAGTAATGAAACGTAAAATGGCATTTAACTGTCGAGTTATTTTACTGGTGAGAGCTTTTAGTTGCGTTAGCGTGTAGAAGCTAGTAAGCCTACTATTTGATTTGTTTTAGATAGACACAACATGTTTCATATGCAGACCTTATTTTACGGTTCCATGTTAAAATAAACAATTTTCAGAGGTACCGCTGAGAAAGAGTAGTGTTTTTGGTCATGGAAAATGAGGTAAAGGTCATGGAGAAGTCATGGAAAAGTCATTGAAAATCATTGGTGAAAAAGTGTATGAACCCTGACTACATGTATTTTGGTTTTCGATGAACCAGATATTTACCATTTTGGTTTTATTATAAAAACAAGTGTTAGCTTCAGCCTTGAAAAAAATCACATATTTCCATTCTCTCACAGAAGAAACATTATTAATTGCTAAACATGAATTTAATCTTCTTGAGATCGCACAAACAATCCCATTCAGTTGTGGTCTGTGAAGCGTGTTTGTGTGTATTCATGTTACATTTACATAGATTTATCATTTATTTAAAAATTAATCCTTATTTGTTTACGACTTACTTTTCAGTTTGCACCATATCTTCATGATTGCGTTCACTCTCCTGTCCCATCTAATTCTCAATGTTTGCCTCTTCCTCCCGCCCTCAGTGACTTTGTTTCCCTGGATGAGCGCGACCAGGAGAAGAACAACCAGTTGGGTTTCGACGTGGCGGAGAGGGAGTTCGGCATCTCGCCCTGCATGACTGGCAAAGAGATGTCCTCTGTGGTGGAGCCAGACAAGCTCTCCATGGTCATGTATCTCAGCCAGTTCTATGAGATGTTTAAGGACACAGTGCCACCCGGAGGTGAGAGCAGGCAATACACTGCAGCTGCTGCTTCTGTATTGTGGTTATTGGACTTGTCTGTTATTACATACGTTTCATCTTCTGACAGAGGCTTTGAAAACTTAATTACCCATAACACCGAGAGGATTTAAAGCTCTTAATGTTTTTGCCTTTGTGGATTTATTTTCAGATAACCACAACATGAGTCCTGAGGAGAAGGCAGCCCTGATATCCAGCACCAAGTCCCCCATCTCCTTCCTTAGCAAACTGGGTCAGAGCATAGCAATATCGAGAAAACGAAATCCCAAGGTCAGTGTCTGAGGAGAACCTCGTCAAAAAGATGTTCCCACGCAACTTAACTGCATTCTAAATTATGTTTTGAGAGAAATGTATTTTCTCCCGGATTACAGTCACAGTTTTGAAAATACAGTACATTTAAGAACAAGCATGCAACAAAACTACTTAAAATAAGTCCAGGATGTTGCTTAAATGAAGTACCTTTTTGTTATATTATTTCAATTACTGATGTAAAATGCGAAGATAAGTCAATGATGATTTATTGGTTTAACACGGCACACAAACTACTGTCCTGTGACCGCCACAACCGCAATTTAAGAGAATATACATTTCCCTTAATCTTTAATTGACAATGCAGTAATGTTCTATTTGACTGCTGAATAAATGCCTGTAAGCAACCCTTGATTTGACCTTAAAAGGTTATTACTTCATTGTTGTAGTATGGAGTAAAAAATAACTCATGTCATGATGTGTCACCAACAGGACAAAAAGGAGAAGGATGTGGATAGTTTGGGGAAGAGAAGGAAAACCAGCCAGTCTGAAGACGTGAGTACTTCTGACAACAGCACGTCTCAAATGTTGAGATTGCGATTTTTGGTTGGAGCACACCATCTGACCAGAACATTGTAATCAATCCCAGTAGACTGTCAGCAACAAGATTTCTACTTTCTCACAGGAGGAGGTATCCAGGTCCGGTCGCAACGACAGGCCTTCAGTCCCAGCTGTCGTGATAGAGAGAAAAATGGAGTCCTGCGCTTCGGGGAACCAAAACAAAGTCAAAGTCATGGCCACCCAGCTGCTGGCCAAGTTTGAGGAGAACGCTCCACAGCCTTCAGGACTCAAACGACAGGTATGGAAGAAATCATGTGGCTCTTTTTCTGGTGTAACAGATGGCAACAAGAAATATGTAGTCAAACCTTTTGATTACTTTTGCATTGTGGTTTGTTTTTCCCCCACAATGAATATTTTCATGAACATGTAGGTCTCTCGCTGTGTGACAGGGCCTCTGGTCTCATGATTGAAGAGCTGTAGGCCACTGTATTAATGAGCTGAGCTTCAGAATGCTAATGTTGGTCGGGCTGGGTATTGTTCCTGTGTCATGTAGGCGGCCTCGAAATGCTGACTGGGCCTGGATGGCTCGGCTGAATGGGTTTGCAGAGCTTTGGTTTGCTTGCCACTGAGAGTGGGAGGGAGGAGTGGGCCAAAGGGAACACTAGAGAGTATTGTTGATGGAGAGAAAGAAACTCTCCACTGTTGAGGAAATGTCTTGTTACTGTATGTCTTGGAATAGCCTGGATTTGACGTTTTGTTTTAAATATAAGCATATTTTTGTATTGCTTTGGCTAGGTGAAGTCTTTTAAATTCATCAATGAAATACCTGATTATGTTTACTTAAACGCCATAAAGGTCATTTACTACTGAAACAAAAAGCCAGAGTTTGGTGGCATTGTAAAGAAGAATGGGATCATTGGAAAATGTTTTAAATTTGGGCGGAGAATTATTCGCATGGATTCACATACAACATTTGAATTTAGACAGGTTGTAGGGAATGTGTTGCCACTAGAGGCCACTCAAATTGCCCGTTTACTTGATAAAAAAAAATAAGGATTTATTTAGGTGTGAAATTAAAACCTTTTGAAAGTTGCTTGGATATGACTCCAAATATATATGACAGTCCTTGTTGTTTTAATGCAAAGTCTTACATACCTTTTTAAAAGTATCACATCTCTGAGCTCAGTGGGAAAGACTTTCTAAATGCTGAATAGTGGAGCAGTTGCTGTTTATTCACACATTTGTATATTTCCTCTTTTCCATCTATTTTTGATGTACATTCTGCATGGTATTTATTTACTGTGTGCAGTGTTATAAATATCCCCTTACTCTCTCAGCATGATCTTCTCATGACTGTCTTTTCCTTATCTGTTCCTTATATTTTTTCCCATCTTCTGTGACTCCATCCGCCCTTGATTCACTTCCTTCCTTCTGTTTCTCTCTCCTGGATTACACCTCCCGTCATGGACCATTTCATGATGCCTTGCATGGTTATTCGGGGCGTCTCACTGGCCTCTCTTGCTGTCACTCATCATTATCTGACCTCAAAGGGGGACTCTCTGCCCAATCTGGACCAACTTTTGCCCACTAGCCCACCCCAAAGCCCTGTGAATGAGCCAGTGCGCCTGGCGCCTGTCCCAGCATGGAGAAAGGTAAAGAGTAGAAACGCCCCGCCTCGTTACCATAGAGACTAACCACTAGACTGACCTTCTAACCATATGTCCCTGTGGTGTGTCGTAGTGGGACAGCTGCTTTGTGCTAGCCTTTTAGTCCGTGCCTCCCTTTCTCTGTACATATTGTGCAGTTCTCAGATTTGTAGGAGTAGCTCTTTTCGTGTGGTTAACAAGTGTTTTAACCAATCAAATCGCTGTATATGTGTGTTTCTGTGTGCGTGAGAGATACACAAGAGTTTTTCAGCTTCATGGTTTATCGTTGCTTCTCCTGTCCTGGATCAGAGACGCACTCAGCAGCAGGAGCAGCTGAGCATTCGCTACAAACAAATGATCAAGGGTCAGCCCAACAGAGGGGAGCAGGTACGGTTAGCCTAGCTGGCCTGGTAGTCCTCCAACTCCTGCCACATCCCATTAAGTCCAATTCAACCCCCTTTTAGATGGAAAATAATTGGCCTTCCTATCAAGAAGCAAGGGGAAGGGAAGGTAGCCTCACTAATCCAGACAACTGTTACTCTGTATTTATTTTACAGTGGAAAACATCCACTGAGAACCAAATGAGCCCAAAGTAGGTCAATCAGCAAAATGTTCGGATGGTGTCATGACTCCAAAACATTGTCAATAACTGAACGAACCATGTGTTTTTAAATCTTATATTAAACATTATTCTCCTATTTATTGTAACCAATTCATATTTGAAGGCAAAGACCAGTGAGAGTCAGTCCGATGCTGGGTTTAGGATGAAGGAAGGGTTCAGGTTAAAAGTACAGCCATAATAATTACCCAATGCATGTTAAAAGAATGCAAACAGACAGGTTGTATTTTGGGCTTTATATTCATAGGATTATATTATCTATGCTAGCCAAAATATCCTGTTGTTTCTGTCCCACAAACCCTTTTTGTTGTGTTAAATGTAACTTTAAGTTATTGAATTACTCCGAGCCCTTCTGGCAATGCACATTGTATGCCGCTGCTGCAGCCCTGTTATGGATTTAAAAATAAAAGGCCTTATCTTTTGTCAACAAAAGTTAAAATAACATATGTTAGTCTGTTTTTGTCAACAATATTGCATGTAGTTATTATCACAATTACTTTTTGACTAAGTTATGGGGAAGTTGTAGTCATAGATTTAATTTAATAAAATGAATACTGTAGTTTTGCTCTGTAGATTTCTTCTAAACAAACAACATTTTTTTTCATAACATTTTCTTCACCAAATAGCTTATTGTGTATCCTGGAAGTGTAACAAACCTGTTACAGTTCTTTACAGATCAAATGTTGTTGAAGATCTTTTATGGCTTTTGATTTAAAATCTACATTCTGGAGTGTTCGTCATCCCTACATCTTGCTGGTGTGCTTTGCAAGTGGCCAATTGTTGATTGAGTGAATCATTTGAAAAAAGTGACCAGATAAAGAAAACAGAATAGTCTGTATCTATGATGTCTACCTTCCACCTCTTTCTTGTTGCTTTTTCTGCCACCTTTCTATGACCTCCAGTTCAAGTTTCCCTGCTACTGCCCTCAACCTTTAAAAGTAGATAGAATTAAGTTTTTTTTTTTGTTAGACACGAACCCGAATCGTAGATGTGTAAAAATGCTCTTTACTGAGAAATATGATCCACTCCTCCAGCCTCAGTAGAAGGCCGTCTGTAGCCAGCAGGCCTGTCTGGTTGTCTTCTTGCTTTACTGCTCTCTCATGCGTATACTCAGTCATCACAGTGAAGTGCCAGCACCACTTTTCTCCTGCTGATGCTTAGAAAGTTGTATTTTTTGGTCTCGTCTCTAGATTAGGCATGCACCTCACCGACATTGATTTGAAGCTTCAAACTCTCCTCTTTAAAGGGATTTTAATTCACTGCTGTTCTTAAATGTCTTCTCATTGCACGGTAATTCTCTAGCTGCAGAGTCAATTAGCTCGGAGTCAATTGTAAAGACTGGAATAATCTTCATAATCCTTAAACACTTCTCTACACTAAGTGTATAGGATATCATTTTTAAGCCACTCTTATGTTCAGTGTTAATTATTTATATTGGAGAAGTTTCCATATACTAGAATATAAACGTTTTAAATTGTGAATAATTAAAAGTTAATGGATTCCCTCTTGTGGATAGTTTTTTCTGTCCACAAGAAGGACAGTAAAACATTTTTTTGACTATGTTTATCTGCCAAATACAATGTGTGGGTGGTCTGTTTTACTTTGTGTGTCCAGCATTATTAAAGCTGCCTTGAGTGGGAGCCCACGCTAATTCTATTAACCCAATGGATTGCTAAGTTTGTGCTGACTGATGCAAATATCCTTGCATATAATTTTACCTCTGAGTTCTACAAGCTTTTAAAAGCATTATGATTTATTAGCCTACTGTGACTTAGAACAATAAGGAGTGTGAAGCATATTTAGTTTTAGCGACATCACTTTCATCATCATTCTTATCATTTTCTGCTGAATCTGCTGTTCCTGTCCCTCATCTCTCAAGGCCAGAAGTGGTGCAGACCAAGTGTCCAGCTCGGGCTCTCGGAGCTGCCCAAAGAAAACCATTCTGCTCCCTTCTTCCTCCTCCACTTCTTCGCTCTCTCTTCACTCAGAGGTGACAAACAGCCTGCTGTCTCTGTCTGTTTCCATCTGTCTATCTCTGCCTCAAATCCACGACACACCCATTTACTGTCCCATAACCCCAAATCCCCTTTTTTGTTCTCTGTACCTCAGATTTGATGTCTGCAGTGTTTAGCATTAATAAAAACAAAAGCTGCATTTTCTCAAATGCACTTCCTAGAGAGGTTTGAGTCTTATTTATTGATTGAGTAGGTAGTGTTTGTCAGAGGAGCTTCTTGTTTTCATGCCGAAGGGTATATTTTTTGGATTTGGCGGCTTGTAAATAATCGTCGACTCAGGGAACCTTGGGTAGTTTTAACTTTTTGTCAGGCACTGTCAATAATTCCACCCAGAAAGCTATTCTCAACTTTAAGTAAGACTGCCTAAGCCCGATGAAAAACGTGTTGATACGGTATCTACTCATTTCTGCCTTCAAGCATTTGCGTAAAAGCCTGGAAGAAGAGACGCTTGAATACTACGAGATGCCTCTGAATTACGGGGTACAGTAAACGAGTGATAGCATGGATGTGTGTTCAGCTTGTTGTTTGTTGTTGGCATTTATTGATGAGTTATTATGGATGAAAAACTGACTTCCAAATCAAGGTTTTTCTTTATTTAAAACAATTATATCAGCCCTTTAGCTACAACCAAAATCAGTATCAAGTCTCACTAGAGCTATCTTGGCAGGAAGGGAAGCTGCCGCACCTGACTGAGCCAAAACCCATTCACATACCTGGTATACAGGAGAGGGCTGACCGCCTAATCTCCAGGTTTAAGGGCAAACCTGACAGACCACCAAAGGTGAACACTGTGCATGGTTTTCCAAGCGGTATTAAGTTCTTTGGGTACATTTTGTATGTTAAGGGCATGCTATTGGTGTGCGTGTGCACATCCTCCTAAGTCTAATTCCATCAACCATTCCTTTTTTCCCCCTGGGGCCTAAGACAAAGCCGTCCCGTTTCTTTATAGAGCAGTGGCACTTGTCCAGCGGCGGGACTGACAGTCCTGGTTCACCACTTTCCTCTCCTGAATCTCCCAGAAAGGTTAAGTTTTGGTGCTGTGGACTCACTCTAACAAACATACAGTATGGAGTTTTTTTCTTTTGACAAAAATACCTAACCCAAAGTATTTTAATTGTCTTCAGTCCTCGTTCATACTTCTCTTATTTGGATTTTTTGCTAGGAATTGCTTTTGGGCAACTTCACTAACTGCAGGCCGTTGCTTTCATCGTTTATCCACACAGTTTACATTTCTGCTTGAATTAAAGACTGACAGCTGGAACTATGAAAACAATGGCTTACAAACCATCTGTGACTTTTCTCTCAATATCAAGCTTTTTTGTAAAGGAGGTTGTTTTTGGAAACTACAAAAAACGCTAAGAATAACTCAAATGTTACTCCTTGTAAATCCCTTTGTGATTGAATGATCTATTTTTATGCAGGAGCAAGCAAGGCCTCTGCACACAGATGATGAAATGCCCTTATATGTGCTTAGTATTCAGGAGAGGGCTAAGCGACTTGCCTCTCAGTTTGAGGACAAGCCAGCCCAACCAAAGGTGACCATTTACCATAGAAAGCTTATAATTAATATTTATACATTACACATTTTTGGGAGTCTTGTCCTGTTGGTCAACTTAACCTTCTTAAGAGTAGACACCATAATTATCCATGTGTTCCCAGTAGGTTGCCACAGTTTAGCAGGTCAGTACACATCATTAGGCTTAACTAGTGAGTATTAGAGTACAGCATTCAAATAACAACTTATAATAGCAAGAAACTGAAAGTTGAGTGAAATGTATTTATGAGGGATAACATTGATCGAAAAACAAAAAGTATCTCTGTTTATGTAGTAAATAAATAATGGGAGAATTGCGGGGCTAACCTTGATGACAGGAATATCTACAAACTTTTTATTTGAAAGATATGAACATAAACTTTTAACAGCTGTAGGGTTATTATTGACATTTCTTTGGTATGTGCCTACACTTACTCAGCAATTCATGCTAACACATTAGCATAGAAAACTAGGGAAGGACTTGAGGGCTAACGGAAAATACAAAACTAATTATAATTTTCCTTTCAAGTTAGTTATTTTTTGTATTTTCACAGGTGCCAGATAAATATATTATTGAAACAAGATGAAAAGAAAAAAGGAGAAATGTAAAGAAAATGACAAAGGATAAAATATCCTTTGTAATTAAATATCCTAAGGAATTAAGCTGACCAACAGGCTGCTCTCCAAAGAAAATTGATAAATAAAACATATACGTTTTTGTTTCAGAACTCATGTGAAACATGAGTTCATATAATGTTTGTATAATTGTTCAATTTACATTTTACTCTCTGCCTCCTTTTTGTGGAGCCTAAGAAAAAACCCTCCCGTTTTGTTATGGAACAATGGCTCCTGGCTCGATCTCAGTCTCCCCCTGGTTCTCCCCCCTCCACCTCTGACTCCCTGAGACAGGTAGTTGTCTCACGCCTGCGAGGAATGGTGTGTGGTGATGCTAATATTGCACCTGTTTTTTATGAGGATTTATCATCTCACTTAGTTACAAAAGTTAACACGTCTTAAGCTCCTCTGAGACGTTATTCTAAAAGCTGGCTGCTTGTTGCGAAATATTAAGGAACTCATTTGCAACTTGATAATTGTTTTCTGTGGTTGTTGTGATATGTATGCGGGTGAGTAATCAGTCCTTGTTATGACTGTGACTATCTGGACAGATATCAAAATATATTCATCTGATGTGCGTTTCAACTTAATTATGATTTCCTCAGTTATTTTGCCAAGGGAGTTCCTATTTGTTGTTTTAGATTAAAAGCGCAGCTTGGCAGCAAAACATCTCATCATGTTTAATTCCCATGCAGACGAGCACAGTTCCAACTGTGGCAGGGTAACATTTTTGCAATGCAGTAGGTCTGCAAAGCTAGTCAAATCTTATCCACAGTAACAGTTTGCATGGCTTAGTTTTGCCTCATAGTACATGCTGACCTCAATTCTTCCTCTGTATAGGATGCAATGGCTTTTTGTTACGTTACAATGGATGTAAACCTAATCCTAGATTAATTTAGGATTTAAACAAATAATGGATAAAAGCAAACCACTTTGAGTGGTCATTTGCAGCATTTTCTTTTGTTCGTATTTATTGTTCAATGAATTATGCAACAGTACAGCGTGTGAGTGCCTCTGTGTGTGTGCATGTGAATACAAAATGCATGACCGCTTTACTGTGGGTGTGTAAGAAAAAATACTGTTAATAGTCTTAATGATTAGTGACGGTCCACTTAGTATCTGTTGTCATTAAGAATACTGGGATATTGGATTTTTTTCTGATATATCAAATCCAATAATGCTCTTAGTATGGAAAGCAAATGCAGAGTGAATCTTATCTATTCGAGCTATATTTGGTTTTGCAGTTAGGTGGAGCTACTGCCTCATCTAAGCTCCTGATGAAGCATGGAAGCATTGCCTTGTCATGTCTCAAATGTCCTGGCACACACTATTGCTTGTGAACGCTTTCTGTGATTAAGCTCTCCTTTTCCCACTTCCTCAATCTGTTTTCATATTATTCTTTTTTTCTATCCATCATTTTTCTAATTTTTTTCTACCTGTTTGTCTTTTTTCCTCCCTTATTGATGTTGATAGCGCTATGTAAGGTTGTACACAGGTGGAGTTAGCTCATTGGCTGATCAGATAGCCAATCAGCTTCAGTCTCAGGAAGATCCTAAGCTCCTACCTGAAAAGAAGGATTTGGTAAGCATGCTGCCAGGGGGGTAGAAGGCATGTGGCTGCGCAGGTGAAAGCCTTATTGCCTGAGAGTGTTTTTTTCATAAAATAATGTGTTGTTGATATGTTAGTCTTCCTGTCACAATTGAACTCCATCTCCCTGTAGCTGTGAAGTGTGTGTTTGCTCCACAAGTAAATACTGTTTGGGATACTGCTGTGTTTGTCGATCATTTGCACAATGATCAGAGATCCCTATTCCTACTGACAAATAACCGTTGACTTGCTCTGTTGTGTGTTGTTGTGTGTGTAGCACTTTAACTAGCATACATCGACAGTGGCCTGGTGTGTGATGTCCACTAAATCTTTGATGTAAACATCTCCTCTCCTCTCCTCTTTTTTTCATAAAAACCTAATCAATCTTCAACCTATCCTTCCACAGGGCTCTTTCAGAAAAGAGTTCCCCGTCAACATCGGTGGCAGCGATGTGTGCTTCTTCTGTCGAAAGCGTGTGTACGTGATGGAGAGGCTGAGTGCAGAGGGGAAGTTCTTCCATCGGAGCTGCTTCAAGTGCGAATACTGCAACACAACACTACGACTGTCCTCCTACGCCTTCGATGTGGAGGATGGTAAGACTCTATCATTAAGTTCCTAAACATCGCAAGACCAGAATTAAACTTAATCTCAATCCAACCTAAAAGAAAAAATACCACATTGCTATTAACTTGTAAATCTAAACTCTAAGACATTGAACTATTCCTTCATTACCTTACCCCACAGCCGTGCAGTCTCATAACTCCATATTATTGCTCTCTGTGAGGTGCTATTATGCTCACAGAGAGGCAGCAGATTGTTTGTTGAGACAGCAGCTGTTTTTCAGAGTAAACCGTGGGACTAAAACCCACGCATGTCAGAGCTCAGACAGTAAGGAAGATCTTTTTATTCAAACAAACAGTCTATTTCTGCAAAGGAAACACATCCGATGGACTCTTTGAGGTGAAATAAACAGAATATGCTGTGTATATATGTATTTATTCATTTGATTTATTTATTGTTGTTGTGCTGTCTGTCTTCTTTTTATCCTGCAGGAAAATTTTACTGCAAGCCCCACTTCTGTTACCGACTGTCTGGCTATGCTCAGAGGAAGAGGCCCGCCCCCTCGCCTACTCCAATCACTGCTGAGGTACCTGTTTCTGTTTACTGGTTAAATGACTGGTGGAAATCAGGAATGGCGTGATAATGAATACTTTCATTGTATAGTTTATCTTAAAAATGCACTGCCTGGTAGGGGAACATGTTGATGGCAGGGGAGCGATTTGTAAAAGGGAAAAGGAGTCGCGATTGACTTTCTTCTCATAAAAATTCCTGCAAAATCTTTTATTAAACATCATTGTTGCTTCCTTTTTTATGATAATAACGGATATTTAATGGTTTAAGTTAATCATGTCTTTCTCCTGGCTGATAGTCATTATCACTATTATGTTCTTGTCTCCATTCCTCCACTGCATCAATCCCTCTTATTTAAACACATTTCAACTAAGCTCTAATAAGATAGCGATAGGCTCTCCAAGTGATTTTCCTTTTAATAAAAATGGTAATTTCAGACACGGAAAACGTGTTGTCACAGACAACAATACATACAAAAATGTATTAGAATGAATTAAATGAACAGCAAAATGGTACAGGGTCTGAAGGATGTATTTTGATTCCAGCGCAGTGACATAATGCTTGTCACATGCAATAAGTTACAAATGTTGTTTAATAGGCGACTTTTGAATAAACAAGGACAACTTATTTCCCAAATAAGGATTCCTCTGTCCTCACATCTCTCCCTCCCTTCTTAAAATTGCTGAGCTTAGACAAGAGGAAGAGACTCGGTGAGAGAAGGCAGGATGCAAAAAAAGGATGAACTACTAGCGTGATGGCTAAAGCAAACTAGTCGAAAAAAGATCATGCATATGAGATCAAAAAAGAAGAAAAGTAATTCATTTGCAACCCACCAACTTCTCATAGTCATATTAAATCGCTCTCTATGGGACCTCTGAGTAGGGGTAAGGGCTGTGGTTAACGTCATCTGTCTTTGCAGGAGAACCAGGCGCCCCAAACTCCTACAGCGACCGTGGATGCCCCCGGGAGGGCGATGGCAGCGGCGTCCCCCTCGGCCGAGCTCCAGCCCTCAGGTACCCCTCTTCCCTTTCTTGATGCCCTGGCTGCGCCCTGCCGTCTGGTCAGGGGCGTGGGGGTCCGGCTGTGTGACCTCCGCCGCACGCTCTCCTGGACCTGCCACCAGGTGGCACGCAACCCCCTAGACTCTCCCTTCCTGTGGCATATACAGACGCTACATGTAATATTATTTACCTTGCTTGTTCCTTATAAATAATATGATAAATACCCTTAAATAAAACCAGCCCTTCTATTCAGTGCATTTCCATTGACGTCAACAGGTTGTTCTTGTTAGATGGCATCATTACAAGCCTTAAAAGTTCCCGTCTCTTCAATGTATACTTAAAAACAAACTGGGGTAATAGCACGTCTGTTGTCAAAGGACACCATGGTGTTTAGGGGATATGTATAAAGCCGAAAAATGATGCTCCTTTTGTCAGCAGTCAGTGATACTGTAAAAGCATGGATTGTGGAAGAAACCATGAAAAGCCTTACCACTTAAAATGCTGCAGAGTGAGGTGAGCCTGGATTTCTGGGACTATTTTAGGATCCAGATGACATGATTTTCATGTAGACACATTTCTTGCACAGCAGTGGCGGAGAACATTAATAGAAAATGTCTCAATTGATGAAGGTAATCAACGGTACTTTGAGCTTTTTTGCGTACCACCTTCGAAAAGAAACAACAGACGGATCTTGTCTGATCTATTCTAAGAGAGACAAAGATTAGTGACAATATCCATCTTTGCATTAACATAAATATCAAAACAATTCAAATCTCTTCCTTTTGCTTTTCTCTACTGTAGATGTTAAATTCGAAAAGGTTCCAAAATTCTCCCATTCAGTGAAGGCACCATTTGAAAATGCTAAAAACATCAGTACAGTGAAGTACACATGGGTCATGATCAAGAAACTTTTACATTTAAATTCATTTCACTTAATTTAATGGTAAGCTTTGAACATCAAACATGGATGATATACGCCCGTAAGAAGATCTGAGAGGATGTTTTTCTTTAAATCTAGACGTAAACAGATTTTCCTGCTCCAAAATAACCTCTTCTTCTCTTCCAAACATGAATTCAGATTTCCCCCCTTTCCATCAATCTGCCTCCCTGCCTCATGCTCTCCTCCCTTTCTGTCTGGAAATCCCTTCTCCTCCACCCTGCCTCTTTGTGTTTCCACGTCTGTGTCTCTCTTTATCTTCCCCCTTTTAAAAAGGGCCGATTCCTCCTCCTTTGTTAATGTGACAAATCTACTCTAATGACTCTGCCGTGGCTCTAGGCGTCTCGCGCTGAAAAACGAACCCCCTTTTCTTCAGACCCTTCAGTCACTCCCGCACATTATTCCGCCCTCTCCCTCTTCTATAGTCTTTTTAAGTCTATCTGAAATTTTTGACAAACTCGTTCTCTGAACAACGAAATGAAAAGATTGCCGTGGTCTGATTCATATCCTCCCTTCCCCGCCGCCCTGACTACAATGGCAGACTTTGAGCATCACAGTCAGCTGTCATGTTGATGTTTCTGTCAAAAAACAAGCTATTGTGACAACTCTCTAAAAAGCTCAACTCTTAGGTAGGGATGTTCTTCCTCTTCTTCTTCTCCTGCACATCGCCACGAGGCTTTCTTGAGTTCAATCTGTATCTGCGGGTTGAGCAGGTGGCTCTCCTTCTCCGTCAACACACTCCTACCACCTCTCCATTTCTACATGGCAAGATATGCATCGGTGCCATAGCAACAATAGCCGCCCACAGCCCACGGAGATAGGAGAAGGGAAGATGTTGGCTGCGATCTAAGTTAGTCAACATTTCATAGAGAGAGAGAGAGAGAGAGAGATATATATATATAAGTGCATCAGTGTGCGCGTGGATCTGGCTACATCCTGAAGCCTCGGTGCAAGAAATTAGGAAAAATAGGAGAAAAGAGGGGGAAGGAGAGAAGATATCGTTCCTCCTTTCTATCGCCCTGTCAGGGGGTGGCGGTGAATTGCATTTGATGCCTGCGATAAGACTCTGTGTGGCTAATGAGGAAAGCGCAAGGCACACTCATTAAACTGAGTGTATGTGTGAGAGAGAGAGAGAGAGAGAGAGAGAGAGAGAGAGAGAGAGAGAGAGAGAGAGAGAGCAACTCATTAGAATTCTCCCATTCTCAAAGGCCAAGTGAGTGAGGAGAATGGATCCGTGGCAAAGCAGCCTGTTGCACCTTTTGTCAGCATGGAAATGCAAACACATTCATAAATATAAAGCTACAGCGATGTTGACACATCCATACAGTAAGTAATTCCACAGAAATCTGAGTTTGACTCGTATTATTATAACCAGGTAAAGCTTTTTGCAACACGTCTAATTAAAACGCCCCATTGAAGCCAACCGGCGTCTTCATACATCGAAATGTCGGAATCAATTCTGCTTAGAACAAACAGTTCAGCATGGGGCCCGTTGTGCTGTTCGCCATCCTAATTAGCATCACTTTCATTTGGTACATTTTTAGCAGTGAAAAGACTTCAAGCAGGAGGACACTGAACTATGCTTATGTCTTGGTATTTTAGATTTGGAGAAGTTTGGGTTGCACAAATATGAGCTCTGCAACACGTTTTACTTTTATGAAGCAATGTCATTACTTTGGTAAGAATTAAACCTCACGGAGCCGCATTGCTATATGCATCGATATTAGCATCTGCTGAACAATAGACAATTTTAACTTACTATAAGACATTTATTATTAATTAAAAGTGACATCTTCATCAGAATGCATTGTGTGTTCATGAGTGTAGTCGCAAAAAACTAAATATCTCATAACTTTTTTCCCACCTGTTTTCACAGATGTAAAACAAAAGTAAGAACAAAAAAAAGATACTGGTAAAACACCCCCCCCCTCCCCCCTCCCCATCTGCTCTATAGCGAGAATTTAGATTAGCCTTATGTTTTTTTTTTCAGTAACCGCAGGGATTCTGTCATTTAAGTTTAAACGTATTTGATCATATACAATTGAACACTTTAATAAACAACCCCCTGTGGTATGATTGACTTGATAATAAACATACTTTTTGTAAAGTGAAGTGTTTCCGCTATAGCTGACAAGCTCACATTTAAGAGGCAAAATCCAATATGCTCATCCCTGTTTCAAAACGATTTATTACAAACAATGCCACAGGGCGTTACGATTACAGTTTTAATATTCCAAGAGACGAACTTATGAACATTGCTTTCTCTGAGGTCGAGTTTGTCAGTTTTCTGCTGGTCAATAGTGCAAATCATGTCAAGTTAAACTCCATGAACTTATCTATTTGTAAAAGATGTCTTCACGCTGAAATAAAGTAAACTATAGTGACTAGAATCATCTGACAAAGGAACATGCAGGTGTGGTAGTCAGTAGCAGTGAAGTGTTTTAATGAAACATGGCTCCTGCTTCACACATGGCGTGTCAAAGCTTCTTCTTCTTCTGCTGCTGTAATGAGCAGTGTAGAGTCCACAGAGAGCTTCTTCTGCTTCTGCTTCTTCTTCTAATCCATCTCTCTCTCCCACTTTCTCCCACTCTTCAAGAACCTTCAGAGGAGCATGCAAAGTAAATAGTCTTTGAGCTTTGGTGTCTTAGGGGGGTTCTTCACTATGTGTTCTGTATGTGTGTGTGAGGAGGACATTATGCAGTGTGTGTTGACTATAAACTATAAACACTATGTTTATGGAATTAGCCTCACGGGACATTGGTCGTTTGTTTTCATTGACCGTGTCAGTATAGCATTTATGTGCCTCCATGGGAATTTGTCCAAGAGATATTAGATGAGAGTTATTAAAGATTATGTTATAGATTATACAAGTTTGGTATGATGGAATGCATAATTGTGCGACTTGAGTTTATTTTGACTTTTTTGTTCATCAAAGTCACAAAAAAAAGATAGTTGTCTTAAATGATCCCCATGAATATAATTTACATTTAGACAAAGTACACATAAACAAGCCTAGGGACATCTGTGGGAAATGAGATAATCTATATCTCTTAATAACTATTGATCAAAACATCTGTTAGTTTGAACATCTTAAATGTGGGGATTTGCGTGTTTTCTCCCATCTTTTCTCATTGCAAATGGAATATTTGGAAAAAAATTGACATTTTTAACTTTATATTTGGTTTTGGAACTTCTAATGGGCCTCAGTGTATTTTTGTTTTCACAATTACTTATTATGTATTAACAAATATAAAGGCATTTTATGAATGAATAAGAACTATATGCAAATGCTATCTAAATAAAAATGTATATCAGATAACATGGCAGTATATTGATGTTAACAATTGTTTTCCAGCCCCTGCTGTATGTTGGGTAAGTAAGTTACTTTGTATTAACATATAGAGAGATTCTGGGTTTAATATATATATATATATTTTGTGGCAATGTCTTGTCCTCTTCTCTTACATTTTGTGTTTTATTTTCCTAGAACAGAGGGGGGTACATGTCTATGATCAGTATCGTATTTATTCTATAGCAGGGATTATTCCTTACATAGAGATTACTAATCTTGGTAAACCTTCAAAGTGCCACTGCGCGGAACACTTGGCTCGAGGAGCTCATTTGTAAGAAGAGATCGCGAAGATATATATATTTTCTTTCTCTGTTACGGTTTCTTGTGAATTGCTTCTTTGGGAAAGAAAAGCAGCGTGTTCCTAAAACACAATATCTGTCTGATTCTGGTAGTCAGTGGGTGTGCTCCAAGATTACATCCCAGCAGACGTCTCGTATTTCAGTAACCGAATATTTTCTACTTTGAGATGTTTCAAGGTTCAGCGATCGCTAAGATATGATGAGAGATTGGACAGGGGGGAGAGGAGCAGGGGATTCGCCTCGGCTCAACTTTGTGTCGAAGTAAACGTTGTTTACTCCGCAGCAAAGCAAAGCTCAGCAGGTCGTGCCAACAGGCGACGCACGGCATTGTGGGAGGCTTTTACCGGAGTGGGGTGTCGTCATCGGTTTGTACATCGCACCCATCCATGTGAAATATTAATGGAGCTGAAATAAATCTT